CCCCAAAACCCCAAAACCCCAAAACCCCAATATAAAAAATATGTTGAAATTTATGATTGTCAAAATGGATACCCATCCAAAATTTTTCTTCCAAAAATTACAACTATTGATAAACCATACTCAAGTGTCAGTTTCTATCAATAATTCCATTCAGACAAAGAATGATAATTATCCAGACATGAGTTGATACTTAAGGAATCTTCCCAGCAACCTCTTTTCGGAGATTATGCTTCTCCAGATATAACAAGGGCAGAGTTTTCCTCAAGAAAATCATTAACAGAAGGACATACTAATAGATGCAGCATTGAACTCATGAATTATATAAATCAGACTGAGTAATTACAACTTCACAGGCTTTGGTGATAACTAAACAGAACTGGCAAGAGAATAATCATTATATTTAGACACATCTCCAGTCATAATTCAGCATAATAACTCGCAATGACTAATAGCTCTTCCAGACCTCCCAAGTCTAGTCTATCTACCAGCCTTAACATCATTAGTTATGAACTTTATGGGAAACTGACTTCATTGAGAATTCAAAGAAATTCTAAACTTAATGAAGATAGTGAAAAGTCTAAGTAAGCCGTAGAGATAGGAAAGTCTTTCCTTGAATTGTAACTTTATGAGGAGATCATCTACTTGTACGACATCAATAAATAAGATCTTAATTTAATAAATTATACATCTTTTATGAAGGTATTAAATCTCTGATTCCACTTGAGCTACAGAGCAAATCCTTGAGTATTTGGAATAGCAATAAATTTAAAGAAACCTTCAGTATTCTCTAAAATGTGGTCTTTCAGGATAATAGTGGCACATTCAGAGAAATCTATTCTCTAAAATTACCAAAAATAAATCGTCCTTGAGGAGAATATTCTAAAGAATACCTTACAACCCCCAAAGCAATCGCTCTAGTCTCTAAAAAAGAAATAATATTTTCAAAAATATTTATTCTGAGTTTTGTTTTATCTGAAAATGCTCTATTCTCTACTAACTTAAGTGAATTTCAAGATTACACTCCATTAAAACCAACACTGTGGGGGATATTGGAGTGAAACAAATTAGCACTGACCTCCTCGCCACCAATGCTTGGCTCTTTAGAGACCCTCAAGCCCCATTGAAGCTTATTTGAGAGATAAAGACTTCAAAATATTTTATTAACAAGAAAGGTTAAGAAATTTAGAATAACTCTAACTTTCCTTACAGATTAATTTTGTGTGACTACAAGTTGGAGAATGTAGGGAAGTAAGTGAGACAATAAGATAACGCAAGAAATAGATACAATTTCAAGAGCTATTTATAAGTTACAAGAAAAATTGATTATGAACCATTATTTTGATCCATAATGACAACAGGTATATACAAGTTTCTATATCAGATTGAGCGCAGGTTTAGATCCATGATTAATTTAGGATTGATCTTTTTGGTTCAATACGAACAAATTCAGCTCATTATTGCATCTTATTTGTGGTGCTAGTGGATAACTATAAAGTGTTATCACCAATTTTCACTAAATTCTTAACCAAAGTGACTTTTCTCTATGAACTTTAAAAAACTCTTTCCTATTTTCCTCTACCCGAGGACACCAACATATCTATTTTTATGATTTGATTAATGCCAGACTGGTATTTACCCTTAGGCGTTTCTTTGCCTAATCTAAGCTACATCTATCTGAAACTCATTATGATTTACAAACCTCGCTTGTTCTTATTACCAAAATATTACTTAGGCTTATATAGTTCTATCTCTATATGGCCCAAACCATTTTTCTTGAAGACTTCAGTTACATCTTTCCTTGTAAATTCATCTTTGTCTAGGATAATTTTGTGAAGAGTATGCACCAGATCTGAATTTGACAGAGACTTTAGTAAAGTTCCTAATTCTTCAGATGTCATCTGTGCTGTTTTGCCTCCAATACTTCTACATTCTCTCAGCTCTATCTCTTGAATAGAAGTCTCGCTTAGTCAGGCTTCAAGGTCAAGGACTGTCTTTAGAGGAAAATTGCAACACAAAAATCCAATTCTGAGCTTATACTTATTTCCCATGAGTATTTTCTTCAATTGAGATTCATTCATTTTGAAGTAGCTAAAATATATTGACTGCATTGTGAGACAACTCATTTTCAGTATTAGAGACATGCATCTCTGGACATTAGTGTGATTCCTGAACCCAAAGTCCAAAGCTTCACAGTGTTGAGGAAACAAGGCAGAAATATTATAAATATTTTTCAAATTCTCTCTACCTGAAAAGGAGGTTCTAATTTTTAAGATTCCTCAGCTTGATAAAGGTATAAACTTCTCTTTCTTCATTGGTGTAACTTTATGAGCCCAGTATGTTTTTAATTCAACATCTTGTTGGATGCCGAATGTATTCTTCTCAAATGAAAGTTTAGAACTGCGCGCTTGCCAAATTTCAATACTCAGTTGCTTTAATTTATTTTGTACATGCATTTGGACGGCAATATATTTAGATAGTTTACTTGTAGTTTCTCCACAATCTTCAGAAGAAGATAGCTGAGCAAAGAAGGGAGTAGCTGGTCTAGAATCGCTCTTAAGTTTTAAACCTTTATCAATTAATTGATTCGTCAAAGATCCAAGCGATCCATGACTATCTAAAGTGTTGGAATTTTTCTTCTCTTCAAACTCAGTTTTAAACAAATATTCATAGTTCCCAAAAATTTCATTTATCGTCTCCTTAAGAATCTTGACTTTTTGTTGTATCTTCTGATCCTGTATAATGATTGAGCTCCAATTAGTGCCAATGAGCTCCTGATTAACTGTGTCGAGCGTCTTTAAGATTTGGCTTATCCTAACAGAAAACTTGGTCTTTTTGAGCAAGAAATAATTTTTAAGACTAATTTCTGAGTACAGAATGGTAGCTTCAAGCTTGAGAAATCTCTTTACATACATATCATTACGTATCTTTGAGTATGAAATTCTTTCCATCACTGGGGTCTTCTTCCTCGCTTTAAATTGGCAGTATGTCAGGCCTTCCTTAGCTTTGATCTCCATTTTATTAAAATAAATATTATTGCATATTTCTTCCAACAAATATTTATAGCGTGGGGTTTTGGGGTTTTGGGGTTTTGGGG